GCCCAAAACAATTGATCGATTCCCTTTCCCCGTGGGTTCAACCCTTACTTGCCTTGATTATGTAACCATGATTAAAATCTCTATAAGGAAACACATAAATTACTAATTTATTAGTCGTATGACATGCCATTAGTAGCTAAATGTAAAATTTCTTGCATCAATACATCTAACAAAATATGAATCTAAATATATAATCACCTCAAGATGATTAGATCTCTTCTAAGTGAGTATATGATCTTTCATTCATTGCTAGTATATCGAACTATTTTGTTTATAGCTTTTCAGCCAAACATTATGCTCCTAACAATAGATGCATAATTTTATTTTTTATTTTTTTATTTTTTATTTTTTTGCATTTGCATTTGCATTTTCTCTCATTTCAATTCATTTTTCGAATATTTTTTAAGGTTAAATTTATCCTTTTTTTTTTTGAATTGGAACTACCCTTGCTGATCATTTATCCATCTCAAACCTCTCTAAAATTTTATTAAAATAATTTTTCTAAGACAACCCCAGTAATCCTTGTTATATATCACAAAAATCATGAAATATTTTTGTTCTTATCACTTAGGTTGCCTCTTTGATATCTTTTATTTCAAAATTCTTAAAGAGATATTTTTTTTGTTTGATATAATAAACTAAAATCATTTACAACAAGAAAAATATCACCAATATATAAAATAAAAAAAATAAAAAAACTTACTCCTACTGATCTTTATTTATATACATTGATAAAAAAATGTTTTCTTGAAATCTAAAAAAAAAATGATAATATCATTAAACTTAAGATACAACTTTTAGGATTTTTGTTTAAGTTTTTGTATTGATTTCTTTAATTTACATAATATGTGTTTTTTTAATTGAAAAGCCCTCAAGTTGTTCTCATTGATCTTTAATTATATACAAAATAAAAAAATAAATAAACTTTCTCCCACCTATTTATTTAAATACACTAATAAAAATTGCTTTCTTGAAATCTAAAAAAAGTGATAATATTTTTAAACTTAAGATATCACTTTCAAGCAATTTTTTTAAGTTTGTATATTAATTTCTTTAATTTACATACTACGTGTTTCTTTTTTTAATTACAAAGCCCTTAAGTTGGTCCATCTAAACCTCTTCTTCCAAATTTTTATTAATAAAAATAGTTTTAACATCTATTTGGTGTAACTCCATATCATATTGATTCACCAAAGTTGTGATGATTCTAAAAGAATTTTTTTAAAGACTATTAAGAAAATCGCATTATAATCAATGCCATCTTTTTTAGTAAAACATTTAGCAAAAAGTCTAACTTTGTATCATTTAAAATTACCATTTGAGTCATGTTTGGTCTTAAAGACCTATTTGCACCCAATCTATTTATATATTTAAGGCAATTTAGTGAGATTCTATACTTGATTTTGATCCATAAATTTTATCCCTTCCTCCATAACACCAATTCACTTAGTTGAATGATCACATTTTATGGCTTGTGAAAATAAAATTGGATCATTGTTAATTTCAAAGCGAATTTTTGACTTTTGTAGATAAACCACATAGTTGTTAGAAATAATCTTTTTTCTCTTTGAGATCTTCTTAATATTATTTCTTGTGGTTCGACCATTGTGGGTTCATTATTGATATTTTCATTTTAAAGAGTTTGTTCTTTGATTTGTTGTTCTTAACCATTCTTAATTGAACTATAATTTTAAGAACAACAATCGTAGGAGTTTTGGAAATAGAAACTTCCGAGCTTAACTTCTTGAATGCTAACTCCACGCATTCTCTTACTCTCACTAATGTCGGCATTTTTCAATAACTCCATTATTTTCATATTTTAAGAAATTCTTGTACCATGATTAGAACAATAAAATTTATACCCCTTGGAATGTTTTAAATATCCAATGAAGTAAGCATTGGTTGTTTAAAAGTTCAATTTCTTTCATATGGATTATTAATTTTCACTTCGCTAAGCAACTCCAAACATATAGATTCCTTAAACGAGGCCTTTTTTTCATGTTTATAGCTAGAAAAAAGGCTTTGGGAATCCTTGCTAAAAAATCATATTTAGCAAATATATCATAGTTTTTAATGCATACATTTACAAACATAAGAGTTAAGATGAATGACCCGTCATACTTCAAACCATTTTCATTAAAGTTAAATTTTTCCTTTTTGCTACACTATATTGATATGGTGTTTCTCACATTGTGTATTAAGCACAAATATCATGTTTTTCAAGAAATTTGATAAATAGACCTAGACATTGTCATGATTTGTCATACTTTTCACAATATTCAACACCTCTATCCGACCTTATAGTTTTTACTTCTTATCTAATTGCCTCTTAACCTCTTTAACATACACTTCAATTGCATAAATTGATTATGATTTATCATGTAATAGATAAACATATTTTTCTTTCCATCGAAAGATAAAGCATCAAAAGGCCCATATATATATATATATGTGTGTGTGTGTGTGTGTGTGTGTGCAATCTCAAGAAATAGTGTGCTTCTTGTGCCTTATTTATTAGTGTGTTTTGTTTGTTTTCCTTTAATACAAATAATATATACTTCATGATCATTAAAATATAAATTTAAAATAATTTCATTAGTTAATAATCTTTGTATTATTTCTTAATGTATGATCCAAACATTTATACCATAGGTAAGAAGAGTTCTCATCAACTAAACCACATTTAGTACCAATATTATGATATGAGGTCATTAAAGTCTAAAAAACAACATTATCGGGCATAAACTTTTAGAAACCATAACATAATATTCTAAAACTAATAAGATTACTATTTTAAAATAAACTAAAAGATCTAGAACCAAACTTAAAAACAAATTTTACTACATCAAGTTTTGATAAATAAACTAAATTATATAAAAACATTTGTAGATAAAGAGTGAAACAAATCCAAATAATATCAGTATCTAAAATTAATTGATAAGTATCAATGCCCTTAATTGGAGCTTTGTTTCAATTCTCTATGAACACAAAAATTTTATTTGGCTTTATGGTTTGGATTTTAAGGAATTTCTACATCATTTTTGAAATATGAGCGGTAAAACTAAAATCAATCCACCAAGTATTATATAGAATTTTAGTAAAATTTTAATTCAAAATACTAAAACAGAATGCTCATCTTTCCTTTCAAACCAACATTTATGTTTCAAGCATTTTTTAAATGCTCAACTTTATTATAAAAAAGACATTTAATATTTTCATGTTCCTTCTTGTGAGCAGTTTTCAAAGATTCATTAAGGTTGCTTAATTGTTTTTTTGTTTTTTTGCTCTTTTTTATTTTTTATTTTTTTAGAATTCTCTTAAACTTTTTGATAACTTAAGAAATGAATAGAATGAGCTTTTTGATTATTCAATATTTTCTCCTTTTGAAAAAGCATACTAATTAATTTATTTATATTCTACTTATCTTTTATAGTGTTGTAATTCATTTGAAATGGCCCATATTACTCAAGAGGTAAGAAGTTAAGGATGAAAGATACTAAGAAGTACTCATCAACATTCATTTCCATCACTAATTTTGCTGATAAAGTCGTCATCTTAAGAATATGATCATACATGGTACGTTAACCATCATATTTTATGTTAGTTAAAGTGCTCACTTATTAGTAGCTTGAGAAGGCTTTTCTATAAATTTTTAAGATTTCTTAAGATATTTAGTGTTGCCGAGTTTTAGAAAAAGTAGTCTTTAAACCGTTTGTCACTCGTCATTCACATAAACATTAAGTTTAATTTGTTCTATCATCCCTAAGTTTTATACGAGTATTTTAATTAGCTCTACTTTTTTGGTAATATTAGTCGGCATATCAACTTGAAGTGTTAGATCCGGATCCAAAACACCTAAGTAAAGCTTAACTTATTTATATCAATTAGAGAAATGTAATCTATTAAATATGAGAATAGATAAAACATGTAAATGGAGGGAAATAGGCACAAATACTTAAAATAAAATAAGATACTCATATATTAATGCCGACCATTATTACAATAAATTGGATCATCACGTGGTGATTGTATCTCTTTTATATCTTTCTTCTCGATAGACATTTCTACTTCAACTTTCATTCATTTACATCCCGATTTTGTGGTTAGTGTCGATCTAGCTAGTGTAAGCTTTTCTAGTTGATATATTTCCCTTGGGATTTTTGCCTTTTCTTCCATCCTTTCTACTAGACTTCTTTCTCTCTTATTAAGCATTCCTTTATCATGATTCTAAACAAAATATTTACATCTATATGGTGTTTGACCTCTCCATTATTCTCCTTTTTTTCTCTCTCTAACCTCTTTATCTTTATTTGTGGCAATGAGCATCTTTGTCTACAAATTTTTTTAGAAATTTCATATTGATTAAATTTGCAATATCATCCTTCAAGGCTTTGGAATGCTTAATGTCATGTCCAAAACCTCTATAAAGCATAAAATACTAGTCTTTTTGCTTTATTTTTTTCTTTTACAATCCTGGCTAACCAGACTAATATATTCTCTTCTACTTATTACTCTAAAAAGATCTATCCGACCCATTGTTAAAGGTGTTCAATCATGTAGCTATCCCTTATATCTTCTTACACAACATCAAAAAAGGATTATAAAGGAAGAATGTTTGGGGCAATCAATAAAACCACCTTAAACTTCAATAACTTTTATTTTACATAGTTTACAAACAAAAAAATAAATAAAAGGTAGTTGGTAAAAATGCCCCACCTCTTGAGGTCCAACAACTAACCAACCTTTTCTTTCTTTTTTTATATTTTGAGTTTGTTTAGAAAGAACCCTTTCATTATCCTGCCCCTCTCCTCAACTTCTAGTTTTTTTCTTCTAGATTTAGATCCCTGTCTTGGCAGGTAGTATATCCCTCTCATTCACCCTCTCTAAGATCCGGATGCTTGCCTTGCCAAGCAACGGATCCTTTCATTTTCATCTATCGCTCTCTTGCTTTAAGTAGAAAACCATCCTTGTTTCTTCAATTTTGTTAGCAAAAGGAGAAAATGGTAGAAATAGTAGTTTATGGAGCTATAAAGGCACAAAAGCTAGATTTGGAGGAGACCTATGAGCGGATTCACAAGATTAGGATCACTCTTTCCTCCAATAATGTCAAAAACCGTAAGAAAGTTTACATTGACTTGGTTCATGGTGCCAAGGATAAGAGACCGAGGGTTAAAGGACTAGTGACAATTGCTACCAAGGTTCTTAACATCACTACCGGAAAATCCCTTTTTTGTTGAAGCAACTAACACATTTGATGATTTGAGCTTTGTGTCCACAAGCATGTTATTGATCTCTTCGGTTCGCTAATGTTGTCAAACAAATTACCTCTATTACAATTTAACCCGAGTGTTGAGGTTAAAGTTACCATTGTTGATTAGAGAGATGCTATTTATTTATCCTCGACCTCCTTCATAATTGCATCAAGTCACTAGGGAAAAAGTCTATTCTTCTATCAATCCCTCCCTTTTCTATTTCTATAACAAATATTTCCCAATATAATTATTATTTTTCATTTTTGGTATTTTGAAGTAGAAAATAAATCAAAAAACACATGGGAGTTGAATTTGATAGACCATCTCGACTGAGATTATTAAGGTTGAAGAAGAAAATGATGTCGAGACTAATTTTCAAAAGGAAAAACATCTTTTTTATTTTTTTAATTAATTTATTTTTATGTAGAATGGAGTAGAAGTATACATATGGCTTGGATGTTGTCACTTCTTATATTTATTTATTTTCTTCGTAAAATTTGAAAAAAAAAATTGGTAGTATTGAATTTGTTTTGTGGGGTTAGGGAATTTATGCGGGCGAGTTGCACCTTAGAAGTCGATGTTAAAATCTAATTATTAAGGGTTGATTTTGAGCATTCGGAGGCATGTAAGAAGCTTGGTTGGATTAATTTGAAGATTAACGAGTTAGGGGTTTTTAACCCACTTCATTATTCATCTCATAATTTAATGAGTTGTGCAAATTAGACATATTAATAGGATACATGTTAGTGCTTACTAGGTTGTTAATATAATTAGAAAAAGTTATGTTATTTACCTTGCTACATAATTGTTCATGATTTTTTTTTTTTTGTTGATCACTTTGATGTTGTGTGATGTGACTAAAGATATTATAGAGTGTGCTAATGCCGACAATGGACAAGAGGAAAGCAATTAAAAAAAAAGATATAAGAGAAAGGTTGATAGTTTTCCGATTTATAAACTAAGATTGATTATGTGAACAAATAGAAACTAACGAAGTCTTTAAGTGCGAGTATCACCTTTGTCCATATAGGAACTATTTTTTTTGCTTTTAATGCCAAGAAGTTTGATGGTGAACGATCACATATAAAATGTTATGTCTTTATTTTTAGTGTGGGATTTAAAATTCTATTTATGGTGGAAATGAGATTTCATCTTTTTGTCGATTGCATTTATTGTGGATCCGAGTTTATCATTAGTTATCCGCACAATGTCTAAAATTCTTTTATGATGATATTTATGTTAGGAATGTAGATATTACATTGTTCTTCTAGGTATTCCTACTATTTAAGTTACGGATAATTATATTTTGTAAAGTTGATGTGGGATTCTAAATTTTTTCATAATACCATGTCAGCATGGTCTAATAAGTTGCATTTCCATGTGACATTAATTTGAGAACACATCTAGTTTCAAATTTAAAGCACATTTACCAACTTCTTTTTTACTTATATTTTACATTCATGTAAATTAGGCGTACATGTATTTAATGCTTAGTAAACAATTAGCTTGAAGTAGGAGCAGGAGAAATATTACACTAGGATTTCCTTACACAACTTATACCCAAAATGGATGAACAAAATTTTTTTTTCCAATGATTCTTTCTTGGCCTCGTTAGCTTCAAATCAATTAAGATGTACCATATATTACATAGCTATGCATTTTTATCATACTTGAATGTTCGATATCCTTTTCTCCATGAAGAATATCTTATCTTTAAGAATCTTGATATGTTTTTAATTTCTCTCATGAAAAATTTAATGTTTAGGTCTTAAATTTGAAGCAAGAATGGATTGTGCCACATCATATGCTACAAAAGTGATCATTAAGGTCTCCCAACTAATCTGAAAATAATTTTAGAGGTCGTGTTGGCAATATTCTAGCTTGCCATTTTAAATGGCTTGTTAAATTGCGTGAACTTGATTATGAGTATGCAACTTGGAAGTTGAAGATTGCTTCTTTTATGAGTTTACTTAAAGAGCCTTTATGGTATATTGTACTCGTCAACAAATTAGTAATTTATATTTTCCTGATATAACCATAACCATAATAGTGCACTAAGGGCAATTAAGATTTAAACCCATAATGAAGGAGGCTTAATTGATTGTTTTTTTTTGGTAGAGTGTTCTTGTAGTGTAAAGGGGGTTTTGTGTGTTTGAAATGCTTGGAAAAAAATAAAATAAATTGAAATAACAATAAAGAAAATTTGGTTGACCTTCGGTAACCCTTTTTAGTTTGGTTGTTGATCATCGATTAAATAATTAATTTATCCTAAATATGAATATTCATCGTAAGATAACAATATGTATATTGACTCCAATCTTTTCTTACCTAGTCATTAACTAAATATACGATACCCAATTAATTACCTAGTTATTGAACAACCTACTAAGTGCTAGATAGATTTAATCCAATAACAACATTAAGATGAGAAAGACAGGTAAAGTTAAGCGACCTTCTTAAGCATTAGAGAAGATGTAGCCTAGTTCTATATTTTTCAAGGAATTGAATGAAAACATCACTAATCATCAACTCCTAGTTACTACCATAGGCAAGTTTAGACAAGCAATTACACGGATCGGAATACTTAGCTAGCAATAAGTATTATGAATAAACAACTAATACGTACTCTAATTAAATTAATCATACAACTATGGACCAATCATGTTGAAAAACATAAAATGCCTAATAGAGAGAAGTTTAGAAATAAAACTAATAATCTCATAGCGATTAACCAAAAGCTTCAACTTGATTCAAATAAGAATAGAGCTTAGTTTCTTATAATACAAAGAGAAAATTCCTATGAATGGTGGCTTCTAGGAGAAGAGAATGAGAGTTAAATAATACCACTAGCTTTGCTATTTATAGCAAAAGGTAAAGTTACAACACACTCCTAGCTATCTACAAGTATCACATGGATTGATTAGCTCGGGTACATGGCCGTGTGCCTTTTTCACTTCATCTCATGTCTTTTATTGCTTCATCTCGTGTAAAAGCCTTCGCCAATGTGGATTTGCCTTCAAACTATGTAAAAAACCTTTACGCCTTTGCGGAATTGCATTGTAACCCGTGTCTCTAAATAATCAGCTTTCATGGACTTAATACCGATAGAATTATAGTTTGCATTCTCATAAAAGTTATAGCTTTATTTCTTAGCTTTCCAACGCATTATAGCTTGCATCAATTGGATATCTACAACATAAGTTATGAGCTAAATACTAACATAGACTCAATCTGTCCGACTAGCCTTAGGATTCCACTTTGCAGCTGAATTCCACCATGATACTAACCTATTTTGGATTCATATCCTTCATAAGACTTGTAGGTATACCTCTTAGGTATTCCATGGACTTAGCCTTGTATCAATTGGAGTTCTCAAACTCAAGATATGAATTAAACTCTATAATTGATCTAGATTTCAAATAAGATTTGTATTAGTTTTCAAAACTAGAATATGAAATGTTGTTTGGAGGCTCAAATGGTTCCACATGACCAGTAGTTATTTATTTTCATATCACACACAGTCGTGTGTCTCCTTAAGCCTCATTGGTGGCTTTTAGCTTCTCTTTGCTTTTGGCTTAAGTTTCTTACCTAAATTCGACGTTTTTCCTACAAAACCTAAAATCGTTATCTTATTCTTAAACAACATAATATTATACAATAATTACTCCAAAGTTTAATGTATTAGAGCATAAAAATCATGCTAAACATGCACTCATCAAGTCTCTCGAGAGATTATGAAAATCGTCATTTATAGGGTAAACGAGCTTAGTGTTTATCTATTCTAGAATAGATAAGATGTGCATGGTTAAAAAATGAGAACTCACGTATTTTTTTATGCACTCTTTAATTCAAACTCATGCTATATTCATAATTATTTTGAAGAGGAAGGAGAAGTCCTAAGTCTTCATATTATTTAGTATATTTCAAGCTCTGTGGATTAAAAATATGGATAGATTGTGCTAGTCAAAAATCTATATAATCTTCTTTTATTTGTATTTAACAATTTTTATTTTATTTTATTTTATTTTTGACAAAAAAAAAGTAGAATTATTAGATTTGAAAGGTAAAAAAATAAAAAAAAATAAAAAAAATTGAACACTAGAGATGGTTGTGTAACCGACTCTATAACTCTAATTTTTTTTAAGTTAGAGGCGGTTTTACTCATATTAAATCATATTCTCCTATCAAAATATAAAATCTCGATAATTTAGAGATGATTACCAACCACCGCACATATTCTATGCTAAAAATTAAAGTTGAAAAATTGACATTATAAAAGCAGTTTTAACCGCCTTAAAAAATAAGAAACCATCAACCGTCGAAAAAACTGCCTCCACGTTTTAAAGATGGAGAGATTAACTGCCGCTAGACTTATTGTTGGGGGGGGGGGGGGGGGGGGCGCGCAGGGCACCACATAGAGTGCTCCTTTTTAGTGTAGTGTTACGGGAGTCTTATTCTATCGGTTTCTTTTTCACGGTGGATCTCCTCCCTTTATGCATTTTTTCAATTTCTTCCCTCTGTTGCTAATATTACTTCTTCTAAGCGTATGTAGTGCTTCGACTCTTTGTTTAACTCTGGCATTGTCTCTGGTTCATCAATGCTAGAGCTTTCCTAAACTCTTCACCACTCATATCTGAGATTAAAGCTGATACTACAGTCGAGATTGTTAGGTCTGTTATTTTGAGGGTTTGTGCGCATTTTTTTTTCTTTTGGTCTTTTGTTAGTGGCAAAATGTCCCAAAAATAATTCTATCAAATCCTGAAAACTAGCAATGCATTGAGGAGGAAGGTTAAAAAACCATGTTAAGACTCTCCCCTTCAAAGTTGAGCTCTGTCATGAACGTTGAATAAGGGAATTTTGGCTACTAATTTATCCTGCCTTGACAAATTTGAAAAGAAGAGTGTCTCCTAAAGTAGACGTACTAGCAGATAGTTTGAATTATTTTTAGGTACTATAGAAATATATACCTTTCAAATCAATAATAATCATTGAGAAATTTATAGCTTTCAGCACGAGTAATCCCATAGTATTGAGTTTGCATCACATCTCTGTACCGAAATACACCATCTGTCCATCATATAAAATGAAGTTAACCTCTGTTAGCCTTATATCTCACTCTGTTAACTTCTGGAGCACTCCTATGACTTTTCGCTTTTCAGCCTCCCTCGCCAAACCTAAAACTCCTGTTCTCGTCAATTTACATTTAGCTCCGTTGCCAGATCAATATTTTCTTAGCATCCTTTATAAGAAATTAACCACAGAGCATGATAATTTCATTCAAAAGGCTCCTTCTCTCTCTCTCTCTCTCTCTTTTTTTTCTTTTTTTTCTGCCATCTGATCTTATATATACTATTTTCGTTCTGATTATTATGAGATTTGGTGACAAAAGCAACTTCTTGCACCAATTTCCATGATTGTTTTACGCATAATTAATTTGCTTTCTAGTGGGTGGTTTTCTTTAATAAAAACGGGTTTGAACTTTGACAATGGGAGATGCCGATAACAGGCGGCTGCTTTATCTTGATTTGGGAAAACGAACATTTGCCATTTTTTGGTACTGTAAACTAAATTCTGTGGGAAACCTAAAATTTAAGCTGATAATTACTTGACCCTAAAAAGAGAGCATTACCGGATTACGATAATTATTATAGGACACCTGCGTATTTTGGTTAACCTCTCTCTTTTTTTTTTTTGTTTTATTTGGTCATTTAGCCCCTATATATAAGAAAGGACAAAAAAGAAAAAAGAAAAAAAAGCACCTGGAATGTAAAGGACCAGAAAGAAAAAAGAAAAAAAAAGCACCTGGAATGTATAGGACCAGACGACTTAGATTTTGCCCAAAACTTGGCGAGACCACTCTTCAGAAAAAACACACACACTCTCAATATTACTAGTATTTATTATTAACATTATTAACTATTATTATTATTATTATAATAATAGAGTGGGGGGAGAGAGAGGGGAAAGTGAGAAACAAAACAAACAGAATCAAATCAAATAAAAACAGAGAGATCGAATGCGACTTCTCTCTCCTCTTCTCCTTTTCTCCTCCCCTCTCAACCGCCACCTCACATCTCCTCCTCTATTTCTCCTCCCTGTTTATTTCTTCCCGATTGATTCTTAATAACATTTCCTTTTTCCTTTCTCTCTCTCTAATCCATAACAGCAGAAAGACAGAAGGAGAGGAGATATGACGGGGTCAGGTTCGTTGTCATCTCCGCTGTGCACGTGGCTAGTCGCGGCGTGCATGTCGGTCACGTGCGCTAAGGAAAGCAAACACGCGTTGTCTCCACCATCGTCTGCTGCTAGTAACAGAACTCGCAGACGGAAGGCCGCAGCTGCTGCAGCTGCCCTGAAATGCAATAGCAATAACAATAACAACAGCAGCAGTATTAGTGGAATCCTTTCTTCAAATACAAGTTTGTTCAGTGGAGGTGGAGAAGGAGGATCGAGTTTGCAAGGATTGATGAGCTCTTGTTTGGCTTTTGAACCTTGTAGTCATTATTACGCTTCTAATGGACTTTTGAGATCCAATCGCAAGCTCAGACGACTCCATCCTCCCGCTCTTTCCGGTATCTTTTGTTATTCTCTTCTACTAATTCGAATCTTCCCTTTCTTTTTGTTTTTATTTATTTATTTATTTTTAATCGTTTTCTCTTCTGTTTTTTTTTTCCTTATGAACTCTGCTCTCTCTTGTTGTTTATGTTTGGATTTTGTTTTTGTAATCGGTTTTGTTTTCGGTTTAAGCTGGATTTGATGTTGATTTATTGCTTTGATCCTCCTTTGTCTGGATGCTTTTATAATATTATTTTTGGTTTTCTCTTTGTCTATTACGTAACTGGAATTTCTGTTTTCTGTATTATTTTTTTTTCTATTTTTTTTAAAGGCGATAAAATGCTACTTCTAAACACAAAATTATTCAGGTAATAAACAGTGCGGTGTAGCTCTTGTATTTGCTGCTGTTTGGAGATGTAGCGAAAGATAGACAGGGGTTGGTTGTATGAATTTGCTGTTTTCGTCTCTGTCATGTTTACGAAGCAGAGTGGAGATAAGATTTTATTGATTCTTCGTTTTCCAATTCTGAAAATCACGCCTCTCTCTCTCTCTCTCTCTCTCTCTCTCTCTCATTCGTTTTGCTGCATTTCAGGCCAACCATGACCTTTTTCTGTACAAAAAAACTAGCCATTGTGCGTGCCTGCGTGTGTGAGAGAGAGGATAGTTGCCTTTAGTTGCATGAAAATGACAGACTCAGACCATTTTCTTTGATTGATTTATCTAAACATTTTAGGAAAAACCATGGCTGTAGCTGTGCAACCTACAAAGGAAGCTGAGACAAAAAAGAAACCCCTTACCAAGCAGAGGCGAGTCGTTGTGACAGGGATGGGAGTAGTGTCACCTCTTGGTCATGAACCAGATGTCTTCTACAATAACCTTCTTGAAGGTGTCAGTGGCGTAACTCCCATAGAGGCTTTTGACTGTGCTCAGTTTCCCACGGTGATTGATTTTTTCAGCACATCTTTTCTTCCATTTGTTGCTCTAAATAAATTTTGCCTTCAGAAATTAAACTTCTCCTATTTCCCCCTTTTTTACCCAGAGAATTGCTGGAGAAATCAAGTCTTTCTCAACTGATGGATGGGTTGCACCAAAATTGTCTAAGAGAATGGATAAATTCATGCTTTACATGCTTACTGCTGGCAAAAAAGCCTTGGCAGATGGTGGGATTACTAAGGATGTGATGGATGAGTTAAATAAAACTAAGTGTGGAGTTTTGATTGGCTCAGCAATGGGTGGGATGAAGGTAACCTTAATCTCCTGAGTTTAAGATTTTTTGTCTATGATAATGAAAATGTTGAGATAAATGACCTGCTGAAGCATATACTTGCCAACTTTAAATTATATCCTTACAATTACTGATCAAGAAATATAAATCATGTTATTCATCAAAGAAAGAAATATGTATATTGTTGTCTCTTTTTCTGGCAATGTCAACTTAAAGGTGAGACCGACATTGTTTCTTTATTTATTTTTTTCTATCTGTTTTCAATGTCAATTTTTCCCCTTGGGAAAGAGTGGCTTGAGTCTGTCTTTGGCCTTGATAACATTGTAGATTCCTCATGGAATATCTTTTGGTAGAAAATAAAGTCTGGAATTGTGAATATAAAGTATCCTTCTTGAGGCCCATAAAGACTTGCTGATGTTGTTAAAAAGCATATTCATTGTGTTGTAGAATTTATTGATTAATTAATTGCTGCTTCTGGGTGATTATGGATAGGTTTTCAATGATGCAATTGAAGCTTTAAGGATCTCGTACAAGAAGATGAATCCCTTTTGTGTTCCTTTTGCAACTACAAATATGGGATCTGCCATGCTTGCAATGGATCTGGTAAGCTATAATTTTAAGGATGATGTAATATTAAGCATACACTGATGGTTTGGGTAATTGACCTTTTAACTTCCATTTGGCGTATGTAACTGCAGGGATGGATGGGACCAAATTATTCAATTTCCACTGCTTGTGCTACTAGCAACTTTTGTATATTGAACGCAGCAAACCATATCATTAGAGGCGAAGCTGTAAGTATCTTGTGTTCAAATCATGTTCAACAAAAAAAGTGTGGGATGCTTAAGGTATTGTGCCTACCACTTGTTAATAATGTCTAACACCCAATTTTATGAACTGTTATGAACTTGCAGGATCTCATGCTTTGTGGTGGCTCAGATGCAGCAATTATTCCTATTGGTGTTTTTTTCTTCCTTTCCTAGGTTATACCCTTCCCATATTTCTTGGGATAGCAGGAAGCTTATATGAATTTATGATCATTGGTGCAGGATTGGGGGGTTTTGTGGCATGCAGAGCACTTTCGCAGAGGAATGATGATCCAGCAAAAGCTTCACGACCTTGGGATATGGTAACTTATCATGAACCCTTGCTCCCCCCCCCCCCCCCCCCCCAAAAAAAAAAAAAAAAAGAATTGCAAAAAGGGAAAGAAACCATTTTTTTTGTAATTTGTTTCTTAAAAATATCGGAAGTTTTTTATATGATAGTACTCAGTACTCAAGCCAGTTGAAGATTTATCTGGTGAATAAATGGCATTACTTGCTTTATTGATTTACGGCTCTACTAGGAGTTTTGGATATAAGTTCTGTTCTTTTAAAGTTTCTAAACTTTCTTAGAGGTCATAAGTTCAATTGTATGGTGTCATAGTTCTAGTTGCTAAATAGCTGCGAGCCTGATGCCTTAATTTTGTAAGAGTTGTGCTACATATAACAACGGCACAACTTGAAGCCATCACAAATCAAACAGCTCCATCTGATATGTGGGAACCCAGTGGCAGATCCCACAGTTCATAACCAAATTCTCGCCGTGTCATTCCTTGAAAAGGGAATATCTCATTCCATAATTTACTTCACATGTGTTTCTCAAACTTGAAATGTCTTTCTTTTGTGATAAACAGAATCGGGATGGATTTGTCATGGGGGAAGGAGCTGGTGTTCTGCTTCTAGAAGAATTAGAACATGCTAAGGTAATATCTTGTCTAATCCAAATAAAGTTATATGTTTTGATAAGAAGTAGAAGTGGAACAGAATTAGAACATTCAATGGCATCCTATTTCTCTTTCTCTCTTTACAGTGCTTGCTAAATTCTATACATGGTGATGGTTGATTGCAATTTTTTCTTCAGTTGATAATCTATGATTAATTTTTGTTTGCAGAAAAGAGGTGCCCATATCTACGCAGAATTTCTTGGAGGGAGCTTTACTTGTGATGCTTATCACATGACTGAGCCACGTCCTGATGGTAATGTGCCTGTCTAAAGCACCTAGAATTTTACAGCAAATCTCTCTGTGGGCATGAAATTTAAAGATATGCTGAATGATCTCGACTTCTCCTTCCTTTTGATGCACCTTACGTTTATGTAATTAATTAAAACCTTTCATCAAAGTTGTGGAAAACGCATCTCAAAAAACAAATAATCAACCTCTTCTCCTACCAAGGCTATAAAAGAAAAAAGAAAAAGGAAAAAAGAAAAAAAAAAAGTAGAGATAATTCAACTATTTTTATTTGAGTTAAATTCTGAGTCATCAATGGAGCAAATGGATCGTTGCAGCAATCCTAAAACTTGGCATGAGGCACTTTCCATTTAAGTTGAATTTCACAGGCTTTGGGATGGTCTGCTACTCTTTTGTTTTTTCTTTTTCTGTGAGTTGGAACATGTGAACCTCTCTCCTAATTGTTGTGTTTACCAGAGGGGGTGCACATTTAATTTAAGATTGTAAAACTGGTGCTTGAATTGGTTGTCACTCTCTGAATTCAAACAAATGAATGGTTTCTATTGCAATTTGTTATCTTGATTATACATATAGTTTATCCATGCAGAGCTTTACTAGCTAACTAATATTCCTTCTGCATCACATCAAAACAGGGGTTGGTGTCATTCTTTGCATAGAAAAGGCATTAGCACAGTCTGGGGTGTCTAAAGAGGATGTGAATTACATAAATGCACATGCTACATCTACACCGGCTGGAGACCTCAAAGAGTATCAAGCTCTCATGCATTGTTTTGGCCAGAATTCTGGTGTATGTACCATACATTAATCATCTGTTGTAAGCATCGCCTAATTTTGCATGGCCATTGCCAGCGTGTAACACTTAATTTTTGTCCACATCCACAGTTGAGGGTGAACTCAACGAAATCTATGATAGGTCACTTATTGGGAGCAGCTGGTGCTGTGGAAGCCATTGCTGCAATACAGGTAAATTGAGTTAGTAGTCATGAAATCTGGGTACCTTTTTATTGCAACTCAATTTTAATTACATATAGATAATGGAAGAGGAAAGGGTTACTTTAATTCTTGTACCCATTATAAGTACGAATATGGCATTTAAAATGGAGGATCAAAACATCCTACCTCTCTTTTTTCTTTTTTTCTATTTCTTTTGTTGAGAATAAATATATTTCTCACGTTGCTATGGGAGAAGGAACATTGAAATTGCATCCCTGATTCGTTAACAGTCTTGAGCTATTCCCCTGCTCCCATCCGAAAACCTTTTCATTGGTTGTTGATTTTGTATTTTGTTACTTGTGCAGGCAATAAAGACAGGATGGGTTCATCCAAATATCAATCTAGAAAATCCAGAGCAAGGCGTGGTACGTTTGCTCTATTGTTTTTCCTGTTTACCCCTATGGCAATTGTAACTTTAAATTTGATGATGTTTGTTTCAATTTACCTAATGCTACTAAAAATAAAATTCAGGACACAAGTGTATTAGTGGGCCCGAAGAAAGAGAGACTAGACATCAGGGCTGCGTTATCTAATTCATTTGGGTTTGGTGGCCACAACTCATCAATCGTTTTTGCCCCATTCAAGTGAGAAATAGAGCTACTCCAAGGTACGTAGATTTGTAACTCATCTTTCTCTGTCTGCTATTGCAATTGAATTGGAGACAAGCATCGCTGGGGATAAGAATGTCGATTACTGCACTAATAGATGTATCATTAATGTATGAATTTATGTCTAGGCACAGGCTATCATCTCATCATTGCATGACATTTTGTAGTGACATCAGTAACTTAATTTTCAGAGAAAAAACTAAAAGCAGAACAAATGTGTAAAATATCAAGATGTGGTAGGGGTCTGGTAGAAAGATAAAATCCTATATAGCATGCTAAATTGCTAACTGTTCAGTGAGTGGCTATTAATACCCTAGTTACTTCTTGCAGAGTCCTACTGGAATCTTCACTGTATCCTGTTTTCTGTTGGACTGGTTGAGCTCAATTGACCTTTCAAATGTAACTAGTTGAAGATCTGATATGGAAGGTATATTGATGAGATGGCTATTTGCTTGGGAAAGGAGAATAGTCAGATTTCGCCAAGTGATGATTGGAAATACTGTTTGTTTCTATTGTTTTCATAGTTCTCCTCCTCATAAATAGCCACAGTGGGCCTTGATCTACTTGTGAGCCATTCAATCAACGATTAGTAGTGGCCTTGTTTAATTTTTGTTCCATGCACCAAAAGATGGCTGAAAGGATTGCATCAGTAGTCAATTGTAATGAATTTTGAGCTAACAATCTGCTATTTTACTGTAGCATTAATGGCGGTTTATGTGCATGCTTCTGTTTTGTTTCATTGTGTCAAGTCTGTATACTTAATGTCATGTCAGGACAAAATGACTACGAATGTTGTTTTCAATGGGCTCGCATAGTTGTCATAGTGTATTGATCTGATACATGTATCAGTTTGTCACATAATAAACAACTGAACTACGGGGTCCTTGCTTCCGTTCGTATTACTTGCTAATGCAAGCAAGACTGATCCGAATTGGCAACCCACAAATACCAGTGTCGATGGGGCAACAGATGATCAATTTAGGCAAGCTTGCTCAATGATTATGCGTGCGCTTGATTATAACAATGTCGAAGTTTTCAAGAGAGGTGAAGAAAATTGTAGTGAGGTTTTTATGGCGCAGAATTGAGACATTTTAGTCAAATGAATAGTGCCCTGGAGCTGATGTTTATTTTCAACCAAAGAGTCGCAAAAATGGCTACTTTTGTGACAGGCAAAACTATTATGACTTGAATTTTTAACGGAATTTTCGCATTGACTTGGGTGTATTTTTTATTTTATTATTTTTTGAAAATACGTAAAGACTAAATGCCCTCAGTAGAAAATTTCGATGGACTCATTCTAGGATCCAAATTAGCATAGTTACCATTTTCCATTCTCTGCATTTGAGAACAGGAAATGATTGAATTGATAACCATTCTTACCAGGGAAACCAAAAATTTCATCGAAGATCATAGTGGGCCAGACCTAATATCACAACTGAGGCTGCAACCAAATTAAACGCTTTGTTTTACCTCGAACCAGAGAGATTTAAATATTTATATGCCAAAGAAAATCATGATCAGTCAAAAGCTCAACAAAATAGGAGTGATAGAAACAATAAGTTGCAAGCAAAATTGTTACATCACTGGAAATTGGCTTCCAGTCGTTTTACTGTTATATACAGAATAAAATACATTTCTGCAATAAGAAGAATCATTGTCAAAACTGAAGCAAGCAACTGTAACTGTTAACAATCAAACAAATAAAAAATTTCACAACCTAGAGTGCGGATCCTTCTTTATATATATCGATCAATCTAGATGGGTTCTTCACCTGCTCTTTCTCTTGTTGCCTTTCTTCTGACTGTTGGATTTTATGAGCTTCATAGACAGTGCAGTTGAAGCACTCTTGCCCTCAAGCTTCTTGGTCAATTTTACAACACTAGCCATACCTTTCCTTGCAGCTGCCCGATGCTCTGGTCTACGACTCATCATCTTGCGATCTAGGGGCCAATATGCATATGGCTCAAGCTTGTCCTTCCTCTTCACATCCCCACCAGCTTTCTTGCTGGCATATTCATTTCCGGTGTAAGCCCACCCAGAATCAGAAGTTTTCCTGCGCTTCTGAGCTTTCCTGGAGTTCACAGACTTGAAACTGCCTGCTTCACTCCTCGCATCTGAATCAGGGTCAGAGGGCTTTTCCTTTTTAGGTTTCCCTCCTTCACGAACTATCAGCCGCCCTTCAGAGTCAATCTCTGGCTCATCATCTGATTCTTGCTTTCTTTTACGATCTGCAGATGATCGGAGGGCTGATTTTGTTCTGTGCCGATCAAGCAAGTCAAGTGGCTCATCTTCTAACTGGTCAAATATGTCTTCTGGCAAGCTCTTCTCTGACCTGCGAATTTTTTTAGACCTGGAAAAATTTGGTTATATATTTACGCAATTTCATTGTTTTGAGCAAATACAAATAGATATGGTGCAATGCCACCCTCTACCAGAACCATCAGACACCATCTATCAGATTCATTAAGGGTCCAGCAAAAATTCAAAGGCTGAATTATTGATCCTGATTTGGATGTTGGGCAGTTAATAATATCAGGACATTGATCCTGATTTGGATGTTGGGCAGTTTATAACATCAGGACACAAATAACAGCCTAAAATGCAAACAGTGCACAGATCTGGGATGTACAGTTCTCGGACATCAAAAAGGGAATCTAGTCACTAAGATCATCCATGATTTAATAATCTAAACATAACAGTCATGCCATTATTCTATAAATTTTTTAACATGATCAAAAGTCACTGACCGTAATAAAGCTTTGGATTTGAGCTGTGAGGAAAACTTGCTACGCCGACCTGAAACTGTCTTTGTATCTGTATATTCACCATCACTGTCCCCCGTCTCTCCATAACTAAAATCAGAGAAGATTTTTGTATGGTTCCATCCGCTTATCCTGTAAGCAGAGAATTTTTCAGAACATCACTAACAATTCAAAATCAAAGAAGAATCCTCCAGAACACCAGCATGGTGTTCTGGCCAGAAACACTAGATTCGCTGATGCATTTGGAGTATAGTGCTGCAGTCCAACATGATGTAATGCAAATCTATGTTGTGACGCTTCCTATTGAGTACAGCTAGGACTCAACATTTGTGTATGTACAAAATGAAAGGATGGCAACAATACAGGATTAGCCAAGTTTCTAGAATGTAATACAGCATCACTGTAACAATAAACAATTCAAAGAAAAATGGCCCGTCCATCAACTGAGAAACAAGCAAGCATTATACTAGCCAGGACCAGTGTTCATCATTAACAGAAATACAGTATTTCATTAGCAAACAAAAAATGGAGATGCATTACCCCTTTTTTGTGTTTTGATCTTTCAATATATTGCAGACCATCATTGCAATCCAGAGGGAATTGAACAAAATATAAAGAGAGGCAGAACGTTACAAGCAATTGAGAATATTTTTTGACATTTAGAAGAGCATAAAATTCCACTATTAATCTATCTCAAAAATGAGTGAGACCTGGATGTACTAGCTCTTGACATATGAGATTTAGTTTCCTCCGAGCTTGCTGCATGCTTCCTCTCTCCCTGCTCCTTTATCTAGTATATTCAACAATCATGAATAAACACAACAGAACAAATTATGCTTTGGAAACCATAAAATGGCACATGAACACGATGCCATTCTACAAACCTTCCGTATATTAGTGAGGAGTTTCATATGTTCTTCAGGCATCACTGCCTTCACAGCATCCAGGCCACATTTCTTGACTAGCATTTCCAGTATATGCTTAACCTGAAGAGAGTTTGGAAAAAACAGGTAAGACATTATTCACACTTAGGACAACATTTATGGCAACCACAGACCTTCCAATCAATAATCAAGCACAATGCTGCAAAAAGCTTTTGGACTTGCTTGCACACATGCTGACCAACAGCATATACCCCAACACCCCTATAAAAGAACATACAAGGCTTAAAATAAAGCATGTCCAAAAGAACAATCTCAACAGCATTGGTAATACATCCAAGCCACAAAGTAAAATGGACATGGGAAGCAATTTTTTTTTTTTTCAGACTTCAACCCAGCAGTGGTTTGGTATCAGAGCACAACATAATAAAAACAGATGATTAAATTAAACTTACTTTTTATAGAACAGATAGGTCACTTCCAGAAAAACAAAACTGACACCCACATACAGGCATGCCAAAAGAGCCAGTATGAAAAAAGAAATCTCTTCCAGAAACTCACTTAAGCAATCATTATTTATGCCAAGGTACAGCATAAAATCAACACAAACCTTAGCTTTGAAGTGGTTTTTGGTATCATCTTGCCATCTCAGTAAGCCTTCCACCATGCTCCCCAGGTACATTTGCAGCCCTTCAGCTTGTGATTTGGCCACTAGTACCTTCAACAAACCTAAATTAGCCTGCATGGAAAATTATCAGCTTAGTCTAGAAAGAAGACAGCATAAAAAAGACCACAAAATAAAAAGAAAGAAAAGAAATTGGTTTAATTCACTCAGCCCAAATAAACATGATGCCAAAATGCACACATCAAAAAGATGGTAAACGAACTTTGATAATCTCCCGGTTCTTTCTCTGGAGGAGGAGAAATGTGGATGGAAGCAACTTGTAAGCAGTAGAAACTAGGTCTGAAAACTCATAAGCCAGACGAGCTACACCTTTCATTGCTGCACTGATCATATGAGGACTTTCAAGAGCCAGGCCTCCAGCAACCTGTGACAGCAAAAGTTAGTGTTTCCAGCAGCAACACATGATCAATTTTGTTAATACATGTAACTCAAATTTTGTTTATACAACATAATAGGATGTGTATATCATAATCTTCGGATAAACAGAACAAGGCTGGTCCAATCAGAACTCATGGGATCTGGTTAGACCTTCCAATTTGTATGGAAAAGAAAACAATTTCAACAAGAACAACAAAACTTGGGAGACAGAACTACGCAATTAATACCATGTTAAAAAATTGATACAAGTTTTCTTTCTTTCCCCCATTCTCTTCATCTCCATAGGTATGACCAATTTGAACAAGCACGTCATAAGCTCTATTTCTTGTTTTTTTGCTAGCCTGTAAGAAAACCATTGACAAAAACAAAGAACAGATCAACATTAATAAACTATACAATGCAACAAGTTCAAATCCAACACATGAGACAAAACAAGTTTGGAAGCAGCAACATAGATAGCTCTTTTCAGCAACATCTTCATTTCAAAAGGCACAAAATCTTACTGCATTACAGCCGAATACCCATTATTGCAGATATTACCAATGCAACCACTACCACTGGCACACATCTAGCATTTACCAAGCAATATTATCTTGAGCATGGACAAGAGGGTCTTTACTTAGTTTGATAGTAAATATCTAGTCAACTACAAAGGTGTATGCTAAGTTTTGGGAACCACCACTTTGTACGAAAATGATTATGGGTAGAGCATGAACCATGCACCACTTCATTACAAATTGACCTAGAGTAATTTTATTTCTTGGGCTGAAGTAAAATAACCACATAGGAACATGAGACTGAATGGCAAACTTCTGCTTAAGAAAGCCTTTCAGTTTTAAAGAGTAGGAACAACAAGTACACGCACGCACACCCTGGCTTCAAGAAGATAAGGCAGGAGTAATAAATAACTTAGATGAATAAATTCAAGGAAACTAGAAAGACTGATAGAAAATAATAGTAGCTCATATACCACAGTGAGTTCAAGCATAACCAACAACTTTTTGTTTACTCAAGCCATTCAACTTCACCACGCAGCCAAAAATCAAATCCCTTCCCATGTTCTCAATTCAATCACTATCAATTTGAACGAAATACCTATGAATCTTCTATTAGCACTCCCTAAAAGCTGTAACTGATTATAGACACAAATCATTCTTTCCATAGACAAGACATACAATCTTCATATAATCTCATATCCAGTTGGTAGTTAATAAATTGGAGTAACGCTATAATAGTCACAAATGATGTAGTTTCATGTCTACAAATTTTCCTATCAACTAATCTTTCCATATTGCAATCCAGTGATTTAAATAATCTTTCCATATTGCGCTAGAAATGAGGTAAAAGAAAAATCCTAATAGATACAATATTACTTTAAATATTATATAAAGGATCCCCGAAAATCAACATCATAACCTATCACAACTAGCAAAAAAAATAAAAATGAAACAATGAAAATGACTAGCAGTGCTCTAGGTGATAATATAATACCTCTTTCAGAGCAAGTATTATCTCAGTAAGGAAAGAAGTAAGGATGTCATTTCGCCTCTGCTCTGAGTCCTGTAACAAGAAACACAAGCAATTCAACCATGAGAGGAGGTGTGACATACCAGATAACAATAACAGATTACAACATCTAAACTCCATTGCTTTTCAACTGTAAGGTTAATAGAAGATAAAGCAAAATCAGGTCTCACAACCTTTGGGGCATGGACTATTAGACAGTACAGACAATCAAGTCTATACCGTTTGGCAGAGAAATGGCATGAGGGTAGCACATCAATCATGAGCTGAAGCAGTTCCCCAAGTCGAGATGTGAGAAATCCATCATACCTCTGACCATTCAGAAACCAGAAACAGAAAAATCATCAGAAAAATTAAATTTCACGAAATGTAATCGAACATATTAAATCTTTGCTATAAGAGTAAAACATCACCTAACAAAGTATATTTTCAAAAAAAAAAATTCTTGCTTGGTAAATACAAAAAATAACACTACATATATTCCAACAAAAATGGCACTTTATTTAAGCCCATAATAGCTACTTCCACAGCTAGAACTTCCAACATGTAAATCGGTGAATTAAAAGCCTCCAACCTCTTTAAATATTCATAAAAATTGTAGTCATTACAGTATGAAAGTTGTTGAGCGAGCATAACCAAAACCATCAAAGAATTAGGAGCTTTTGCAATTATGAAGGTTGTACCTGAAGAATAATTGAAAGAACTTTGTATGCCTTCTTTTGGATCAGACCTTCAACATCCTGCACATCAACAATAACAACCATGAATATAATGCAAATAATAACATATGCCAAGAATAATGATGATAGCCCTCATGTGAAAACAATGGAGTTTCTCCCAGAAGTAGATGGGCAACAGGACTTTCAAGAAGACAAACCTGTAATGCAGGCTTTACTGCACTATATAAAACATTGATCTCTTCGTCATTCAATCCTGGCAAAAGTGAAACTGCCAGGTCAAATAGCCGTGCCCTGCAGTAAAAAAGAGATGATGTGAAAACAATGAAAAATTCCATGACAACTATCACCAAATGTGTACAAATAGAAGGGCAATATGGCTGGTAGTAGGTTGGGAAGACAACTCACAAACGCATATGATGTGAAAGAGGCCAAAAAGAGATCACATTCAAAATAAAATAAAGCAACAGGAAGAGAAAGAAGCCAACCTCAAGTCATTTGATGAATCATCAATCTGCATAGAATTAGAACCTCTAGAGTTTTGAGGTTTTGTGGCCTTTCGTGTGACATTCAAAAGCTTCTGCATTGTCTTTAAGAAGATCCTCTTAATTACTACTTTATCCGCTATTGAGGCAAACTCACGAATTGTAGACTGCAAGAGTTGTATTTATATTATATACAATTCACTTAACATGCCAAATAAATAGTGCATTTTTTATGTAAAAAAAAAAATAATTTTACAAGAAAAGGAAGAGCAAACAAAATAAATTTGAAGAACAAGTCATCATCCAAACGAGCAATCTAGGAGCAGCAACAGAACAAAATATAATAACCCTCCATCTTGCACACTATCAGCAAAAGGAAGAGCCACTTAAGGTTCCAACGCATGTGATGCAAGCAAGCAATAGTATCCTATCCCACAATAGCTGTCTCGGAGAGAAGCTAATTTTGAGTACTCTGATGTTGCTCAACAGCCAAATACATAAAAAGACTGCACTCACAGTGCAACAGCACAATAATGGCGCACACAATTGAAGATATGATTATCTAAAGAAAAAATATACATGGCTATTCTGCATTTTCTTATTGGCAATAGTACCTACAAATCACCATTTGCAGAAGGAAATAGTTTCAACGTTCAGAAGTTCCAGACGGTTCAGATGCACTATCCAAAAAATTTTGATATCAAGTCTAACAGATACTTTTAATCGGTGCAGAGTACAAACTCGTGGAACTTCAGGGAACTTTCTATTTTCACATATTCTGTGAAAACAGGCTATCAACAATACAAGTTATGTCATCTCATTTAGGCTATGTTAGCAAAATGATATATTAAATAGAATCAAAAGACATACACAAAAAAAAAACAACAATTTTAATGTTCCTCTTAGTGAAAATAAAGTGAAATATGTTTATTCACTGGTTCAGATAGCAAAGATACCTGCAGAAGACCACCATCATCTTTTGAAGATTCCAAGAGGATCCCAGACAAAACATGCAACAAGTTATGAGCAGAAGACCTAAGCACCCTCAAATTATCTGATGCAACTTGTGGGGTATAGTGGGCAATAGCGTGTTGTTCAGCTATACCAACTTCTGTGCCAGTTAGATCATCTTGTTCCTCCATTACTCTCTTATTCTGTTGAACAAGGATCTGCAGAGCAGAACATATTATTCCACGAATATCACATTCTTCCCTAAGGGCACCACCCAAAGCTTCCTCTAGATCCTTGAAACTTTCTGCAGTATCCAAAGGATAGTTGCAAAAGGAAGGTAGTAAGGACCACAAAGAGTATACAAGAGCATCAGCACTCCTTGCTGAGATGATTCGTCCTTCTAGCTCCAGCTGCAACAGGCAAGAAGTCACTACCAAAATGCTACATAGCAGAAAAGCACACCATATTACCTGGTAATTTTATACCTTCTGAGATTTTTTCTTTATCAGACCAACCATACTCAGAACTGTCTCCGTAAAAAAGCTTAAATGGGCACCAACAGTATACTGCTTGAGAAGAGGAAAGAGCCAAACATTAACTTCAGATAGGTCATCAGCCTCTAATTTAAGAGGTAGGAGGCTTAAAAATGTCTCAGGACCCATTGCACCAAGAGCAGATCCAAGGCATTCATGCAACTGCAAGTATATCCACATATCAGAAAAGGAAAGGGTAGAGGTTATGGATAATGCAAGCGACTAGCACAGAAAAAAATGCTCTCACTTTATTTGTGACAATGAAGTCAAGTTTTACTTTAACTCAATTAGAAGTAAATTATATTTATACCCTGATACACGAGACACTCAATTAGAAAGTATGGGCAAGGAAAGGATGGAAAAACCTAGCAAACAAATCATTGTAGATATGGACTAACGTGCAAACATAGCTGTTTCACAACAATACTGAAACCACCATGGAAGCCCACCAGAACTTGTCAACGGAAAATATGTCCAATGAACCATTTGTAGTGGACCAAACCATTCAATATATAGATATACAGATATATATGTATCTATGTGTGTGTGTGTGTGTGTGTGTGTGTGTGAGTGTATTGTTCTTTTAAACCCCTTTTCCCTCCCCTGCTCTTGTTAGTTCTTGAAGGTTTCAACAATGCAAATTATTTAGCCAATGACCGCAGAGTCTAAGTACAAAACTTCTGCTGGTGTATCCCAAACCAAAGGGAGACTCTTGAATCTTGAGGCCACCAAAATGCTTTATTCCATTGGCATGCTGCATTATGAAATGTTGAAATTCCCAACAAAGTAAAGCAAGATAAAAATGCATTGAGAGTGCGTATATTTCCAAAATGACACATGGGAAGTCATATTTTAAGAATGTCACATCCTAACAGATTTATTTTTATAGGATACCAAGTGATTTTATAAGACCAATAAAGTTGACAAGAGCCCTAGCAAAAAAGCTAAAGAATATCGAAATATAATGAGTGCATATCAAGAGTATATAGAGAGGTTCTTCTACAGAAGCAAATACCTACCTGTTTCCAGTAAGGAAAATCTTCATCAGGCAATCCCTGCATATCTGCCAAGTTCTTAAGGGTTCCTCTCATAAAATAAAAAGAATAGTTTCCTGGAAAATAAAAAATGTTGACTATAGTACACTCATAGAAGAAATATTGAAAACAAAAATACAGAAGACACATTATAAAAACTAAAAGGTTCACAATCAATCTGTGGAAGAAGAAAACTTTTTGTTATAGATGAGAATCAACTCTTATAGCCAGAAAACTAGAAATGACACATAACTTCACCAACTCTTATGGCAAGTAGTAGTCCAATGGCACAATAGAAAAGGAGTTGGAAAAGACATGAAAATACCTAATTTATCAAACAAGGTCGAAACCACTTGAAATACCACGTCCCAGACTGCACTGTAATGATAATCAAGTAAGCTTTCAATGGTTGCGCACACTTTTTCTATAACTGTAGGTTTAGACTTTCTAGTTTCAGAATTTTTGTTGATTGTGATCTGTTCTACTCCCTGCTTGATCAAACTTTCATCAAGACAAGTATTTATCAAGCTCTTCAATGCCTGTGCAGCCGCAAAGATAGCCTCCTCATGTTCGGATGCCAAAATATCTGCCAAAGACAAAGTGATAAACAACAAAGTAAGCAACTTCCATTGCTTTGTCTTTAGAGCCAACAAAATAGAAGCAAACAGAGGAAAGAAACAGCACTCATTCTTCTAGGAAACTAGCATCTAACCTTTGAGTGTACTGAATACAATAGGTAGCTTAACAACACAAATTTGCCTGTTTAGAGAATAAACTTTTCCCATTCCAACATCCAACAAGCGAGCAGTGAATGTCATGTTATCTGCAGACGTCTCATTTGTAGAAGCATAAAGAGCTAATGAGCATAACAAGTCGAGTAATGGCTCAGCCGGAACCTCTAAACTCGGGTGCAAACAAATTACATTCAGAATATCAGTCACACGCCTAGTAACAACCGGTTGTCGCAGTTCAAGTAGAGTTTTAAAGTACTTGAGAATTGTCGTTACGCACTTGATTGATAAAAGAGGAAGACATTCTTTTAAGGCATCGAGAACATATAGAACCTGCTGGGCTCCTTTAGGCCCATCAGTAGCAGCAACTTCATTGGATCCACCGGCAAGAAGAAGGAACTTTTCGAATGCATTGGTAATTGATTCACTCGCCGGGGATAATGCTGGTGTACCTTGAAAACTTTGCAGGGTATCACGGATACACAAATGGGATTGCCTTCTCACCTGCTCAAAAATCAATCGAACTTTTTAGCTCTCAAAATCGAAAGTCGTAAAGCAAATTAACATAGAAAAAGGATACCTTTATGCGTGAATCGGTCATGAAACTTAATAAAATTCCGAATGGCTGAGAAATATCAGTCCAATTAACACTGTCTCTGATACTCAACAAATTAGCTACGCATTTCAATCCGGAAACAACAGCTCCAACTGAAATAGAATTTAATTTCAAAACCCTAACAACAACATTCGATACGAATTCTCTTTTTTCTTCAAGATTGGAATTGAAAGTCGAGGGAGAACGAGAGAGAGGATGGTAATGAAAGAATCAATCACGTGGGAGGGAGGATCGGAGGAGGAGGAGAGGCGGTCTAAGGAGGAGCATGCGGCGACGAAGTAACCGACTGGCGTACAAGGGAGGTTTTGGTCTTTGAGTTCTTGTGACATGGTACCAACAATGGCGCAGAGGTGCTGGTGGTCCTCTTGGATGGAGGTGGAGTAGCGTGAGAGAATTGAGTCGCAGAAATCATCGTCGGTGGAGGAGAGTAACGGGGCATCAAATTCGATGCCTTCCATTTTGGTGGTGATGGGGCCCGTTTACTAGGAGTTGCAGGGAAGACAGCGAAAGGAGCTGTTTGAGCAGCTGAGGTTTGCTAGGGTTTATGGAAAAAGGGAGAATTGAAAGGGAATCGGGCTTGGATCATTGGCCCAATTTGAAGTTAGGGTTTTCCCTATGTTTGGATAATTCCTTTTGGGAGGAAAGAAAAGAGAGGAAAGAAAGTGAGAAAAGAAAAGAGGAAGGAAAGAAAATCATTTTTCACTTGTTGTTTGGATAAGAGTGGAAAGGAAAGGAAAGAAAATACATTTCTTTTGTTTAGAAGAGGAAGGAAAGAAAGTGTATGATTGTATATTTACTATAATACCCTTGTGATTATATTTATATATTTAAATACTTATAATAAATTTGTATGAATATTTTTGTCATGAAAATAACACAAATGATGATAAAAAAATCTAACATGTAGCATATATCCGAAATGATAAGATAGATAATGAATCATCTCCATAAGCATAACCGATAACCGTTTATTAATTAATTAATCCAATAGCCAATTTATATTAATTATCAACATAAAATTAATTTAAATATGTATAACATGTATTATTAGCTATGCATATAATAAGATAGTTGCTTTTACTCATCATTTCTCCATTTTTTTAGAATAAACAATTACTATTAAGCAATTAAAAAAAAGAATATATTGTAACATTGCGAACAATCATCGAAAGTCAATTGAATCACAGAAAATGAGACAAATCACAAATAATTTTTATTTATTCTTTTCTTTTGCATTAACTCCAAAAAGTGTTTCGGGGGATGTCTTGAGGGATATTTTGTGTCTATTTTGGTGGGTTTTTTGGGGGATTTTTTTGGTCGTTTTGAATTTGGTATGGAGTTGTTTGTGGAGTTTCTTTGGTGGTTCAAATGGCCTTTGCAAAAGGGTTGCTCTGTAACGGTTTTCGGAGTCGTTGGTAATGGTTTCGAGGCTGAGTTTGGGGGCTTTTTGATAGGTGTTGGGTCTGTTTTGGGGGTTGGTTTTAGGCCTCGTTTTTTTATGGGTTTTGGGGTTTTTTTGGGTGGTTTTGAAGCTGGTTTGGGGGTGTTTATGGAGCTTCTTTGGTGGTTCAAATGGCCTTTGCAAAGGGGTTGCTCTGTAACGATTTTTGGGACTCGTTGGTAACGGCTTCGTGGCTGAGTTTGGGGGCTTTTCGATAGGTGTTGGGTCTGTTTTGGGGGTTGGTTTTAGGCCTCATTTTTTATGGGTTTTGGGGTTTTTTTGAAGCTGTTTTGGGGGTGTTTGTGGAGCTTCTTTGGTGGTTCAAATGGCCTTTGCAAAGGGGTTGCTCTGTAATGGTTTTCGGGGCTGTTGGTAACAGTTTGTGGCTGAGTTTGGGCGCTTTTCGATAGGTGTTGTTGGGTCTGTTTTGGGGGTTGGTTTTAGGCCTCGTTTTTTTATGGGTTTTGGGGTTTTTGTGAGTGGTTTTGAAGCTGGTTTGGGGGTGTTTGTGGAGCTTCTTTGGTGGTTCAAATGCCTTTGCAAAGGGGTTGCTCTGTAACGGTTTTCTGGGTCGTTGGTAACAGCTTCGTGGCTGAGTTTGGCGGCTTTTCGATAGGTGTTAGGTCTGTTTTAGGGGTTGGTTTTAGGCCTATTTTTTATGGTTTTTGGGGTTTTTTTTTTGGTGTTTTGGGGGTGTTTGTGGAGCTTCTTTGGTGGTTCAAATGGCATGTCTAAAGGGGTTGCTCTGTAAGGGTTTTGGGGGCTATTGGTAATTGTTTCGGGATCGAGTTTAGGGGCTTTGGATAGGTGTTGAGTCTGTTTTAGGGTTGGTTTTTGGCCCATTTTTTTAGGGGTTTTTGGGGTTTTTTTAGGTGGTTTTGAAGCTCATTTAGGGGTGTTGTTCGGATCTACTTTGGTTGTTCAAATGACTTATCCAAAAGGGTTGCTCTGTAAGGGTTTTGGGGTCCGTTGGTAACGGCTTCGTGGCCGGGTTTGGGAGCTTTAAATAGGTGTTGGGTCCGTTTTGAAGCTATTTTTTTGAGTGTTTTGGGGCTTGTTTGTAGCTTTTTAAGAGCTAATTTTGATGCTTTGAGGGAGGTGTTGGGTCTCCCAAGTTCCATATCAAAAACATTTGAAAGGGTTGAGGAATGTATTATTGTATATTTACCGTAATACTCCTATAATTATATTTCTATATTTAAATACTTATAATAAATTTGTCCGAATTTTTTTTTATAAAAATTGCACAAATGATAATAAAATAAAAATCTAACTTATAACATCTATCCGAAATAACAAGAAGGATAAAAAATCATCTCTATAAAATAATCCATAAAATCAAAGGATGGTCACAAATAGCATAAGTTGTTGGTAGCAAGAGAACTAGCGGTATAGAATCGGGATTATAGCGAGAGTATCGTTTTTTTCAATCGAATATTGTACAGTAAGTTACCGAAATCTTCATGGATGTCAAATGTTTTATTCTTAAAATCCTATTTGTTTACAAGAATCATGCATGGAAGTAACATGATTTACTAACGTTTTTTGCAACAACTTTTTATCTACATGACTTTCCATATTTAGTCATGTTCTCAACTAGTTTTGCATGTGATTCTCCTTTAATTAGATAGAAAGAAATGAAAGTTGATTATATGTCTAACTTGAAAAGACATGGATAAATATTTAGGTAAAGTCGTTTAGTCTCAACATTCCGTCATGCTTTTGGTGAAAGATAATTTGCATATATAACCATAAAGACTACCGCATAGCAACTCCAATCAAAAAGATTCTAGCAGAAGAGATAATTGCATAATAGATTACGCTTAGACCCAATTGATTTAGTAATGACAAAAGGCAAGAAACCGCATCCACAAATCCTATTGTATCTTTCCTTAACCGATATATGAGGATCCGATAGTTAGAGCATCCATCAGTCAACTTAGCAGAGTTAACAACAAATAATAATAATAAGGTCAAAACAATCGAACTATTTTTTAATGTTAAATCATTTGAAATTAAATTTTTAAATCTGATTATTAGTTTTATCAATCCTTAAACTTTTAATTTTGTTTTTTTAAAATTTAAACTATCTTTCAGTTTTATTTTATGATAAATATAGTTTTATTTTATGATAAATATAATTCGGTGAGTTTTACATAAGGCTCTTCAAAACATTTGAATCATTTCGGAGTATTTTTTATTTTCTTTGATTTTTTATATTTTTAATGTTCAAAAAATAAAAATATATAGTTTGAAAAATTCTTTTCTTTTCTTTTTTACAAAATAAATTGAATTTCAACGTGTGTAAAATTTCAGCTCAAAATACCAAAAATTAAATTTTTTAAAGAGAGATGATAGTTGAAAATCATTAAATTGACTAAACTTTTAAAAATTAAAAATTCAGGAATTCTCAAAATCAGTAAAACAAAGTTTAAGAATTCAACTTCAAGTGACTTAAAGTTGAAAAATGAACCTTTTTAGCCTCATAATAATAATAATAATTAAATCACAGCACACCAAAGGCTGGTGAATTTGCCAAAAAACAATACTGCCAGCATTCAACCAAGGTTCTTCCATTAGAATATGATTTGACTTTTTCTACCTGTCCATTGACATCAAGACACAACAATGTCAACTCTGCAATGAAGGGAGTGAGTGCATTTATTTAGGTTAGTTGTGAAAGTACCTTAATTTCCAAGAAAAGTTGACATTCAAAAGAAACAAAAAAAAAGTCATCTTTCCCAAACGACATCTTACCCAATTGGCAGCTCCAGAGATTGGCTCTTACAAAAACATTGCATGTACACTCATAAATACATGATGTTGCAAGAGAATGTACACCGCCAATACAATAATCCTATTGTAAATGAGTTCTTAGTCCTGAACTCAATGTCAAAGAGTGTCAAGACCGTTGTTGGGCTTCTAGATCACAATATAGCTACTTGTGAACTTGGTAGGGACTGGGGATACAATTAGTATAAAGAAAAATAGAGTATGTTTGACGGAGCACAAAATGCTTACCTAATACATGATGCTTGAGTTTTCCTGCTGGATAAGGAAGTTTTGCAGTTACAAATAATAAATAAATGTCAACTATAATTTAATGATAGTCATTCAGAAATATCATCCCCATATATTACATTACCATTATCCAGATCAGTAACAGATTTACTTCTTAATTTTGACGATCTACCAGAAGATTTCAATGGTTTCAAGGGTTTCCTGACCTTCCCCGCCTGCAACTCCAACCCCTTTTTTGAAGGTTTCCGTTTTCTCTTCATGCGTGTCCCTCCCGTGTCCTCTGTAAGAGAGTCGATTGTAATATAAGAGTTAGTTACCACTTAAACAAATAAACTAACATGAAACACTAGGAGTCAAGTTGCTTAAAGAATTGAATGCCAGAAGCCTATATAGTTTTTATGCATAGAGTCATCAGAATTCCATCTCCTAAAATTATAGTAAGCTTTTATTTTTCATATTGGAAATCATTTTCCTCATTTCCTATTTTTCTCCCAGAAAAGAAAAGGATCTAGAGAACTAATCATCAGTGTCAACTACCACACACAAACAGCATATTCCCAGAAGATAAGTATTCTGCACCCTACAATGATTGGAAAATCAGGCATACGGACAATGTTAAGTTTTAAGATTATGTCACTCAATGTGTTACTACTGCAAGCCCACTACTTTTTTGAAAGTTGGGAAAGAGCTAGTTGTTTACTGAAGAACGTCCTACAAATCTCGAATCCCAGTTTGTGGTATGAAGAGAGAACATTAACAAACAGCACGGTATAATCTTTAGTTATAAAAATATCTCCATTCAAAAATCTTTTAAGCATACATGCGTTGTTACCTTCAAGAGGACTTAATGCATGGTTCGTTGCTTGGCCATTTTGTCCAGCTTCTTCAGAAAGAGGGGATCCAGAATTATTAGAATCCATTAACTTCGAAGAACTTCCCATACACTTGTCTTGTTGCTCAGAAACGTCAGGACAAGGGGTAGCTGGCAAGAAACACAGTTCTTCTTGAGATAAATCTGAATCACTGAAATTATCTTTCTCCACTGTTACAATATCAACTTCGTCATCTTCATTAATATCTAATTCTTTTACCTACAAGAATACATACACTTTAAGAAAAATAAAAAAGGACAGAAGACTTGCTCAACCAGTCTTTTTTTTTTTTTTACCTTTTCAGTTTCAGGTATCAGATCAAATTCATCTTCGCGTTCCACATACTCTTCGTTTTCCTCTAGCTCATTGAAGTCTGGAGCGAATGCACTCCAGTTCTCAGTATGGTCCTTAGCCCAAATATAAACCAAGCCAGTCAAGGAGACAGATATAATAATGGGGTGAACAGGATGCCATGCTAAATCAATCAACGCCTCTTTTGGACCTTCAAGGATTTTTACAAGATGTCCAGCCCTGTCCCATATGTAGATCTTGTGCTCTCCCTTGCTCGTAGAACCACCAATTACCCATTACCAAAAATCAAAAAATTAAAGAACAGTACCTGAAATTGAGAACCAAAGAGAAACAAGAAAAACCCATCTAAAAAACAATAAAATTGCAAAGACCCATTAATCAAAGGACAAGAAAAGGTAGTGCATGTAGCTTTAAGCTTTATAAAAATGTCCAAAAAATTATGCGCGAGGGAGAGACCTGGTCGAAGACATGTTGTTTAGCAGTTTCTTCAAAGAAATGAAGGACAGAGAGAGCGATAGTAGCGGATAAACCGGTGGTTATTAAATCGGAGACAATTGGATTCTGATGAAGCATAGCTACTGCTGTCCTTGTCGTTGGATCCCCTTTAGATCTCCTCCGAGTCTTCTGCTGTCCCTGAAATCCGACCTCAAAGCTAGTACAATTGTTGTTGATTCTGTGATAAGGAGTGAAAATGAAAGTGCGCTTGAGGTTAGAGAGAAGGGTTTTGTGAGGGTCAAGGCTGATGCAGATCTGTTTTGCAGATCTCTTTTGTTACTGCAAAGGAGGGGAACGGCTGAGGCAGAGGTAGATGAGGGCAAACATGTGAATCAAAATATTTTGATGATTTCTTCTGCGTTTTCTCTCCATTTCCTCTCAATTTTGAGAGGAAAATGGGTCCCACTCCTTTTAGCTTTGTTTAATATTTTTTTTCTTTCCTCAGCTTTCTTCTGCAAACCAAACGGAGGAAACTTTTCATTTCCTCCCTATTTTCTTTCCACTCCCTCACTTTCCACCCTATCCAAACAGAGGGTTTATGTTTTCTCAATTCTGTACTGTATCTTAAAAAAAAATGTTTCCATTGGAAAAGATTAAAAAAAATGTTTATGAATAATGGGTCCATACCTTAATTAAATGCATATTTTAAATGTTTTTTTCCTTTAATTGCCTATCGGATATTTACTAAACTATTTTCTTCGGCTCGTAAATTATCCAACTTTTTAATATTCAATAAATAAATTATTATGAATGTAATGAATTTAGATGTTTGATTTTATAATCTCGATGATTTAATAAAATCTTGATAATTTATAATTAAATTTAGCTCTTCTATTTTTTTAAGATATATAAAATAATTAATTTTATTAAAATAAAGAGTATAGACATAAAACTGAAATGTTTTTTAATGTATTTAATAGCGAGGAGCTAATGAGCCTTTACACCTAAAAAAACAAAAGAGTTTCAAGTGTCTCAATCTATAGTTGAACTTAAGCCCATGATAAGAGCTTCTAATGAAGAAGTTAAATTAACCAACCTTACCCAGTCATATTTAGATAAATTTAGAAATTATCCCTAGGCTATCGTTAAGATAAAGGGGCATATACTATTTATTTTTCTTGTATAGTCTAAAGAATTGTTAGCAAATGATTTTTATCCTATTTATTTTTATGAATTTTATATTAAAAAACAAGAAAAGAAAAAGATGAATTTGAAAATAATATTTGGAAAGTCGATTGGAAAAATCAAGTGAAATAAGGATCAAAGAAATTCAATGGGGTGTGTAATTATAAAGAAACGAGAGGGGATAGGATTAAAATGCAAACACACGTAAAATAAGGAACCAAAACAAAGTTTGATCATCCACTTTGAAGTAATAAAACCCTACATATAAAAAACTCTATCTCGTGCAGTTATTGAGTAGGTAGAAAACCTAGGAGACAAAAAATCCTAGAGGTAAAGCAAAAAATAAATGAAAGCACCAACCCCTCTCTAAGAAAAAAAATCATGTCACCATCTCCTCCGGTTGTTGCCATATCCTTCGCTCATCGACCGACTACCATAGATCCATTCCTAAAACTAGCCAAATAGCCTTTAAAGATGGACCAAGACCCACTAGACCCACCAAGCCCCTTGACGACCTCTTTCCTAAAAACACTCCTCTAGCCAACATCAACCCCAATAACCATCATACATTTACAGACTCAACCTTGAATCAACCTTTCCCAACTAGTTACCATAGTAGAAAGCAACAAATGAGGTTGAAAAATAAGAGGGAAAACAATCCAACCAACCCATATTTGAGCAACTAGAAAAATCTCCAATTTATGGCCAAATTAATTGTTGCCACCATTAAAGAAACGTCAATCACCCTCTTAAAAGTTGATACCCTTTAAAATCTCGATGAAATATCATCAAAATAAATCAAATTGCAAAAAAAAAAAAAAAAAAAACCCAAATTTGCCACCTTCATCTTCCTTTGCCATGGCCAAAATCAACGATAAGCAAAAGAAAAGTTAAGCAATTATTAGCGACTATTGTTCTTCTCTCTTTGACTAGCTATACGATACATGGCCTTTATTGAAGTACTAAAGAGACATAGTTATGCCCTCTTCGATTAGCGATGTACTAGAAGGAGAAGTAGCGACCATCAAAGAAGTCGATAGTGGGTAAGGGTTTACCCGATAGTTCTATAAATTTGATAGGCACGTATGTAACAAATGCCAACATTGTTCATTTTTCTATATTTTAGTTTGAGGGTATTTTGGTAATATTACACTTCAACCAAGGATATTTCAATCCTTTCACATCAACCTTCTCAGCTTTTCAATGGATAGTTATTTCTTTTCCTCAATCGAATATATTAAATCGGTTTTCATTAGAGTTGAAGAACTCGAAACTAACCCCAAAATGCATTTTGGTCATTTCACATTCCAAAGACATCTTAGTAAGCTCGTTATGTTCTTTTATGTACTAGGTAAGTTATTAAAACTCCAAATTTTAATTTGAATTGTTTGAGGATATTTTAATATTAATTATGACTAAATGTAATTACGGTATGTCAAAATATATCATAGCTTATCGAACTTAAGGGGTAGGAGATCCTCGAGAATTAAGATGGAATAAGATTGGTTTAATACTCTACGATGGAGCTAGGAGAATAAGTTTGAGTTTTAATTTCATGGATTATACTCGAATAAGTGTTAATTTTAATGCCTTGTAATTTCATTATTTGATTGAATTATTTTTGTTATGATTTATTGAATTTTACTAATTATGCATATTTGTTTCTCAATTATACCCTTCATGCCTATTTATCATTTGATTGAAATCATACCTAAAGTCAAGTCAATTTGACTCTTGATTTGGATTACTTTTACTAATTTTTTCTTTTGCCAACTATTGACAAGGGCACCAAGTGAGGGGTCGAGTTGTCATCTAGCAATTAAGGGAACAAGAAAATCCTAAAACAAACTAGTCAACACAAATATCTAGGTAAGGGATTGGTTATGTATGAAAAATAATAACATCACCACCATCTTATCCTACCCGAGGTAGGTTGCATTGTATACATGTGGTAGCAAAGGTCTAATCTTGTTATGTTATGATTTTATGTCTACTTGAGTGAATTTATTTTATTAAGATAAATTGATTGAGTAATTTGACGTTTAGATCGATCAAAGGCCTATAAAAGTTGAAAGTTTAACTAATCCCTTAGCGATTGTAAACATGTATCGACAAATAGATAAGTCTCTAGGAATTAGGAGCCCATACCGACATGAACAAGAAGTCATTAACAACTTTATCAATATAAATGGGAAGTCGATGAGTGCATAATTTACATAACTATTATGCTCTTTTACATTAAACTTTGTAGTACTTATTATATTATATTTAGGAAACTAAGATCAAGATAACGATTTTGAGTTGTAGAAAAAATGATGAATTAAAGTATGTCATAGGGCAACGTCGGAGGCATGAGCGATGATTTTGAGATGAAGACAAGGGAAAATGGGCAAAAATAATTAGAGTCGCCACCTAGTATTATGGTTACTAGGAAACCCTATGATTGGTTTATTCGGACTTCGGATAAAGGGTTTGTCACATGCGGGAAAGATTAAAAATCACCCTACTCTCTTTTGCTTAAGTCAGTCGCATTGTACACAATATTGATTTGATTTCTAATTTTTTATGATGAAAGTCTATAGCTATTTTTTCAAATATTTGCCCACTAGTTGAGTGATTTGGGACTTAGCCTATTAGAGACCTTGCCCTCACTCTATAATGAATAGCTACGATATAAAAGACATGATGAATGTAAGGATATGTGACTAATATGAATTAAATAGCGTGCATGAAAATGAGGCTTTTAAAAATAAACAAATAGGTAAATTAAGTAAATAGGAAAAGTGGGCAAAATAGGCAAATAACAATAAAATAAGCAAATTGGCAACATTAGCAAATAGGCCATAGGCGAGTTATATAAAATAGGTGAAATTGACAAACAGACAAGTAGACAAAATAGGTAAAATTGGCAAATTAGCAAAAATTGACAAATAGACAATTTGACGAGAATAGGCAAAATCAAGCAAATTGACAAAAATCAACAAACGGACAAATAGGCAAAATAGGCAAAATCGCATAATTGGAAATTTGGCAAAAAGACAAATCAATAAAATTAGCAAAGGCTATAAAAAAAGAGTAAAAATGATGAAATTGGCAAAAATCATTAAAGTTGACAAAAAATGATCCAAAAACCAAATTAGGACCGACATGACTTCAAAAGTTGTGATTTTTAGCCGAAATTGACAAAATCATTGAAATTAACAAAAACGAATCAAAAACGAGATTCGGATCGACACGACCTTGAATATCGTGATTTTTAGGCAAAATCGACACAACGAGCAAATAAATTCTCATAATGTGCGACAACGATCCAAAACAAGGCTTAGATCCATGTGGCTCAAAAATCATATTTTTTCTTAAGATAAATTAGCACAATATTAAGTAACCATTGTAATGGGCTAAAATGACCTTAAAACAAAATTCGAATTGGCATCACTCAAGAATGACATTTTTTAACGAATTGGTAGCAATGTGAAAATTAATTATTATTTGACAAAAGAACGACCCAAACAATGAGGTTCGAATTGGCACGATTCGAAATGATATTTTTTAGATGAAATTAGCATGTGAGCAATTTAAAATTATTATTAGCAAAAACGATCCAAAAACAAGGTTCGAACCAACGCAAGACAATTACACAAGCAATGATAAATATTTACAACATAACAAACACATCAACCAAGCCATATGAACACACCAATAATATAATTAATTTACAAGCATATCATAACAATTGAATTAATTACGTACACATCCGCATAAATTAAATTTAATATATATAAATTAGCACGTGAGCAATTTAAAATTACTATTAGCAATTTATAATTTACACAAGCAATGATATTTTTTAGATGAAATTAATACGTGAGCAATTTTAAATTACTATTAGTAAAAACAATTAAAAAACAAGGTTCGAACCAACATAAAACAATTACACAAGCAATGACAACTAT